AGTGAAAAAGTATGAAAATCATTGTGCAGGTCAGGAAAGCTGATGTGTTTAGTTTCTTTTTTTAAAAAAAGAAAGAAAAAAAAGTAATACCAACAATCAGAGTGTGTGTGTGTGTGTGTGTGTGTGTGTGTGTGTGTGTGTGTGTGTGTGTGTGTGTGTGTGTGGTAGTTAAAGGGCAACGTGGAGGGTTAAAACAACTCAAGGCTTCTACTCCATGAGCAAGTAAAGGAGGAGGAGTGGTGCTGCTTTAAATGCTCTGTAATATTTTTCTTTTATTCATTTAACATCGCTCAGCTGGTAGAAAGAGTCAACAATCAGTAGATAACTTGATCAAACAGAGGGTGTGTGTGTGTGTGTGTGTGTGTGTGTGTGTGTGTGTGTGTGTGTGTGTGTTTGCGTGTTTGCTTAAGGCGTATTGCCTGCAGCAGCAGGCTGTCCATAGGGTCCGTTACATTTCCTTCCATCCAATAAACATTAACCTTGACATTGAGCGGATAGTGGAAACTATTGGTGCAATGCAACAAACCCCCCAAACAAAACAAGACATCAGTTCCTCCTGGACTGCTCTGAGATTCTGGGGAACACATTTAGTCATTTTTCGCAACATCTTTCTTGTGTGTGCGCATACATGAGCCCGTCTGTGTAAAGGTGAAACTAACGTCTGCTAAAACTACAGAATGAAGTCAACACGACAACAACAAAACTTTTGTGTTATAATATAACCTCAAAAAGAAGAATATTATTTAGCTTTATAGATAAAAGCTAAGTTTATATACATTTGGAAAGTAATAATTAGATTATATGTGACCTCTGAGTGTAACAGAAAAATAAGGCATAATGATACATAGACTTATTCAAAAACTAAGTATGCTATAAGCTAATTTTTACGGTTTATTATAATTAATAATATTATTATTAGAGAAAAGCGGCGTGTAGGAGAAGATTTTTTCATTTCCATTTTTCATTCTTTTCCCCTCTTCTTCAGTTTTACTTCAGTTTTCTTACTTTTTAAATTTCTTTCAAAATGTAAAACACTTAAATGACCTTTCGATATATTTTCAATTACAACTTTTATTTGAATTTAAAAAAAAGGGGATGTTTCGTCTACTGCGCTTGAAATCAACGTTGTATGTTTGATGGGTTTGATGAGTTTCATGGCGGATACTGATGAGATGCAAGTTGATTTTCTCCAGTGAACCATCTGGTCCTTACATCTGGGCCCAAACACTTTTAAACATCTATTTATGTATATTGAAGATTTGTTTCTTTTCTCTGCCACCAGTATAAGGAGGGAATAAACTTTTATTTCAAACACTGGTACCGACCGGCGCAGAAGTTCAGAATCAGCGCATAGGCAGCAAATACCTGCGCATGTTAACAGCGGTACTCAGTAGTATTTTAATTTATGTAAAAGTTAAGAAGAAAGTATACCTACTTGGCAGTGATGCTGAAACACCAGCAGTCTTTGCAAGGGCAGTTATTATGACGTACTGTCTAAATTAGCTTTCGTTTCAATAGCCACTGGGAGATTAAAATGGCGAAATATTTTTAATTTCTATTTAGGAATATGTTTTTTTCTCTGTTGCCTTTTTCACACGCAGCGGTTCAATGTGTGTCTGGAAGATGGAGGAGGGATGATACAGACTCGAAACAAAGGTTGATTTCAGACTGATGACCCATCAGAAACAGGCCCCGGCACATGTTTGTGGATAAAAATAAACCCTTGCGCGCGCCCACACACACACACACACACACACACACACACACACACACACACACACACACACACACACACACACACAGAGAGAGAGATGAAAGTGTCCAAAGCCATGGCATGTGGCGTGTCACAGAATTATTCAACACGCAGATTGCTGAAGACAATTATCACATCTGAGTGTGTCAGCTTGTTATTAGGTTTTTGTGCGTGCGTCTCTCATACACGCCGGGCAGGTACATCAAGTAACGGCACATACCAGAAGATTTAGCTGAGACCGTTGCTGGGCTTGGCAAAGCGTTAACAGTACGCGGCACAATTACGCACTGACGTTCAGGTTTCATCTTAAGGTTTTTCCTGGAAAACTAGCTGCTGAAACTTTCTGCGACCTTTCTTTGGCTCGTGGATGTTGAGAAATAACCTGAATAAAGACATTACACGGCAGATTCCTTTTGTGTGCGAGTGGGGAAGGGGAAGGTGGAAATAACTGCAGAGAGAAATCATGTTTGCTCTTCTCACTAAAGCTTCACATCAGGCCTGAATCAAACCCAAAATGCCCGCGCGCTTTTATTTAGGTGGTTACATCCTATGTGAGTGTGAGTTTTTCCTCTTTTCCTTTTTTCTTTTTATCGATCTTGTTTGGGTAAAAACCGTTTGAAGCGTATCCTGGTTCAGTTCATCCAAGTGTTCCGGTTGCAAACACCCCAAGAGGATGTAAAAGTCAATGATTAAAAGTTAACGGTGATGGGATGAGGACAGAAAAAGGACACACACACACACACACACACAGCGAGAGAGACACAGAGAGAGAGAGGGAACGAAAGAGGGGGGAGGGAGAAGAGAGAAAGGAGAGCGAGAGAGACGTTTAGGGTGTAGTCCGTTACTTGTTATCTGATACCGGCGGGGTCTTACAATAAAAACTCCGCCGATGGCAACAATGGGGATTGTTTTCACGAAAACTGGGGGGATGCGGAGGGGGCAGAAGGAGTCATTTGGGACCTCAACGTGTCATTTAAATGTAAAGTGACGCTTTCAAAGAATCAAACTTGGACACCCAGCTCAGTGAAAAAGTATGAAAATCATTGTGCAGGTCAGGAAAGCTGATGTGTTTAGTTTCTTTTTTTTAAAAAAGAAAGAAAAAAAAGTAATACCAACACGTGTAGATACAATAAAAACAAACAAACGAAAAATTAAAGGTGTAAAACATCATCTCATCATTTAAAACTAAGAAAATGAAGAGATTTGAATTCAAGTGTTTATTAATTGGCCTGTGCTGAACGACTAATCAGAAGCCGATTAATAGGTCGTTATTTGTGCTTCATAAGTCAGGCCGGTGCTATGCTGTACAAGGAAGAACAATCAGGGGTTGAAGGTCGATATGAAAAAACAAAAAACAAACACCGGGCCTTTGCGATCGCTTATAGGCCACAACACTGGAGTTGGTGTAAGAACACATTAGTCCTGTCATTGTTTGCTTTTGTGACACTGTGCTCAAATTGTTTATATGTGAATCATCAAAAACACGAAAAACGAGGAATGGTTTTTAACATTTTCATTAAAATGAAATAAGTTTAACATAAAAGGTTATCTAAAGTAAGAAGAGCACAGCTCTGACACCCCACAAAACAGGAACTACTTTCTCCGAGCACGGCGGGCCGCTGCTGTTTCCCGTTATTCCGTGGCCCCGTTACAATCACCGCCGGACACCCCTTCCCCCGCCACCTGTCACATCGGTATACCCGCTGGATTCCAAACCGCGCAAACAAACAAACAAACAAACAAACAAATAACAAAAATCCACAAATCCGTGCGTAAAGGCGCCCGAAAACGAGCCCGTACACGCTATCGCCAACATTTCTTTTTCTTTTTAAACAACAACAAAAATGGCTCATCACGGCAGTGGACTCACCTGGGATGTAGACGTCCCCTCGTTCATGATCGGGGAGTTCACTCCAGTTCCGCTTTCCCGGCGAAACGTTCGCCTTTTTAACCAGAAAGGCCCTCGGCATGCTCAGTCAACACAAAGTCCCTTTGAGAGAAAGCGATGTGCAGGGAAAGCCGCTGTGGCGACGTAAAGTCACGTTAAAAGTGACCAAAAAAAAAAAGAAGCAGGAAACCGAGAGGAAAAACTGGAAGGTCGGTCCCCGCTTCTCCTTCTTCCTCCTCTTCGCACCTTTCTTCTCGTTTCGCAAGCCTCGTCCCGCTTTTTCACCTCCTGCAGCACACCTTTCCTCTCTACCAGATTTGTTTTCGAGCTCTAAACAAAAGTCTTTTCGGCGTCGGGACAGGTGAGTCCGCTCAGGTGAGCTACCAGGTCAGGTACAGACAGATATCGCCCACAGCGCCCTGAAATAACGGGAGTGTGGCGTCACTAGGTGAGGGAGCGGGGCTGGGAGGGAGAAAAAAACGCAGATATTCCTGGTCGCACGCACACACACATACACAAGTGTCGATAGAGGTGGGTCAGAGAGCTGCACAGGTACTCATTTAAAAGCAGGAAACAGGCAGCAGCGCGCATGCGCGGGAGAAATAACGGTGACAACAAGCCGGAGAGAGCCTAGGTTAGGCCTCTACCTGCTGAACCGGTTTACCCCTCCTTTTATTCTCTGCCTCGGCCTTTCCTATCCTCTCTTTCTCCACCTCTTCTCCATTCCGCTTTAAGGTGTGGGAACGGTGAAAATGACGAGAAGAAAGAGTGAAAGATTGAGAGTGTGTGTGGAAGTGTGTGTGTGAAGGAGTGAAGGGCAGTTATACAAGAAACTGTAGACACAAAGAGACAGAGGCACAGTTTAACTGTGCAGATGCACAAACACAGCAGTCAGAATAAAGCGACTAATGGAGGAGTTCGTTATTTCTTTATCACTGTCACAGTCACACTTATTTAGTAGATATTTGTAGAACATATAGACAAATATCTGCTAAATATGAGAGTCTAATGCTCATCTTACTATCTTTTTTTGTCGGAGTACTTAAAAGATGAAAAATCTTCACAGTCAGGAACATTTTAATGTTTCGAGACGTGACAAAAAACCAGTTTATCATGAATCACTGAAACAGAAACGAACATTCGTCTGAATCTCAGGCGAAACGAAGTGAACCTATGAGAGGTATAACCATGGATCTGCTGTAACAAGTGAAAACAACAGTCAAGTTTGAGTGTGCATGTTGCAGATTGATCTCTGAGGATGCTCAGCTGTGTGTGAAGTTTTCAGTTTATTTTAAATGTGTCCTGAGTGATTAGATCAGAGTCAGGGAGCTGAAATAGACCCCTCCCACACACCCCCCAATTCACCATTGTGTCTATCAAGTGTCTCCGAGATGTCTAAACTGGCTACACAATTCATTACTGTTTAAGTTGATTACTCTAGAAGGTCATAGGTCTCCATGTGCATTGATCTGCTGCCAGGAAGGTGCCGAATTCATTCAGATAGGCCCAGCAAAGGAAAACAAACTGCAATTGAGATTTTGCAGGACAAAGTTATTTGTGAATTTGAATAAAAGCCACCATGCTTTGCTTTGTTCACATGCAATATTTTCCTGTTTATTCCTTGTTGTAGACGTATCATCAGACCAGGTGTAGATTACACACTGACACAAACAGGACCGTGTAGGTCAGTCCTTTTATGTCATCTGTGTCATAATAAAGGAAAACCTACACTGCAGCTGGGAAGACTCGGTACTGTTGCATCAGAAAGACTCGTGTGTTGTGATGTTTGTTTTAGTCTTCCTCTGTGATTTCCTCACTGCTGTACGGTTGATCAGTATGAACAGAGAGCTCTCTACCAGCTGTTGAGTGTTTTCCTTCAATTAACTGTGTACATATTGTGTAAATGATGCTATCGCCGTAGCTAGGTGTAACTGGGAAATGGAGTTGACAGCCTGTACCAAGCGGACAGCACAGCAATTTATTGTTGACACTAGGACACAGAAAACATATCAAATGTTTAGACTGAGAAAATATTACCTTGTTTAGAATTTCATGACAGGTAAAAGTCTCAAAAAACCTGGGACAGGGTTTTGTTTAGCGCTGTGTAGCATCCCCTCTCTTTTTATAACAGCCTGTGATGGTCTGAGAACTGAGGAGAGCAGCTGCCGGGGGAGGAATTTTGCCTCAGTCTTGTCTGATAGATGAGTTTAACAGTCTTTGTTGTCATATTTTTCATTTCATGATACTCTAAATGGTGAAAGGTCTGGACACCAGGCAGGTCAGTTCACCACCTGGACTCTTCTACTATGAAGCCATGCTGCTGTAATAGATGCAGTATGTGGTTTAGTACCGTCTTGTTGAAGTATTCAAGGCCTTCCTTAAAAAAGATGCAATCTGGATGAGGACATGTAAAACCTATAGATACCTTTCAGCATTAACAGCGCCTTTCCAGATGTGAAAGTTACTGATTCAGTGGGCACTGACATGCCTACGTACCAGCAGAGATAGGCCTGTTGAAAACGTTGCTGAAAGCATCTTGATGCATACTCAATCATCCAGCTGAGACTGAAGCAGTCACTTGGATGAGTGACGAAACGTCTCTTCCATTGAAAACGCTACGTCCAGATGACCAGAATCAACCTGTTGGGACGTGCTGAAAACAAGCCCAGCAGTCAGTCTCCTCTTTAATCTGGTCTTCCAAAAAGAATTTCAGACTTTGACCCATCTGACCACAGAACAGTTGCTTCAATCTTTTCTTTTTTACTAAGCTTTGTTTCAGAGATGATGGCAGCATTTTTGGATCATGCTCACATATGGCTTCTTCTTTGGATGATGGAGCTTTTACTTGTGTTAAAGTGTCCATGTAGTCATTTCCAGGCAGTGCTGTGAAAACCGGAATATCCCTCCAGTGTGAACATCTAGTGTTGATTTGAGTCTTGGAAACTTTTGATGATATTAAACATGATTGGCATTGTACACTGAGTAACTCATTCCTGACATCACGCACACTGAGAAAAACAAAGATACGATGACTGATGGAGGGAGCAGCATGTAGTCCGTCCTGTCTGACAATCATAAAAATGATGCCCAGACAGTTATTATTATTAAAACACGCAAAAACATTTTGCAGTCCGAGCGGATAAACAGTAAATTCTATTGTGAACAGTCTTGATATTCAAACCTTTAAAAATGCTCTGGAATATGTAGTGTGTGGTCCTATATTTCTGTTATTTTGTCCTCTCCATTTACTGTTAATCAGCTGATGCAGGCTTGCAGCTCCCTTTTAAACAACACTTCTCTTTGGTTGCACAGGTGTGCTGGCTGGTTGTGACATTATAAAAGGCTTCCTGTGCAGGCCTGATCAGATCACTCACATGATCTTGTATTTGCATAATATATTGAACACCAGGACCTCATGTAATGATGTTATAATTTGTGTTTCTGTGTAATGAAAGAGACGTGACAGCAAACTTGCCACAGCCAGTTTTTGATGTGTGTCGGAACTTTGTTTTGTGCCCCGATTGCCAAAATTTTGCAACAACTTTGGCAAAACAATTAAAAAAGAATCAAAATGACACATCACGAAGGTGCTGGGTGAAGGTTAGGGACATCAGCGGTGACCTCTCGGGGTGTAAAGAGTCTCTTCTCTCCACGCTGCCTTTAAATACAACAGGAAACTCCAGTACAGCGAGATTCGCGTCTTACCTGTCTGTTCTTCTCATGACTAATAGCAAAAGAAATGCTTCTCAAGACAACTAATACGCAAAGTATTTATTTGGCTGTAACAGGAGACACGCTATAATGCCATGTAACTGCATTGTCTGTGTGGGTGTGTGGGCGGCACGTTGTCATTTGAGATCATGGGCGTTTAAATTGTTATGATCTGAGGATAATTTTAATGGATAACAAATATTTACTACGTTTAATGCCAAATAGATTTTCACAACCAATGGACAAAACAATTAACCTGTGAAAACACTTTAAAGTGGCTCAACGCAGTGGAAAACCACTGACCTGGCAACCCTGTTTATGTTTTGTGTTTTTCCCTGTTTAATAATCATGCAGACATCAACATATCCACAGCAGCAGTGTGACAGTGACGTCATGGCCGCTGATCTAGTGCAGTACATCTCACATACGGCCCACTTTGATCTTAAGTGGGCCGAAACTACAAAATTGCCCTTTCTGTCAGTGTAAAGATGTGTAACTACACATTTAATCCCCTTCAATATAAAGAGCAGTGCAATATCAACAGTATTCCTCAGTTTTTCTACTCAATAAAGAAATGCTGCCATACTAAATGAAAGAAATCTGTCAGCACAAATAAATAAATCCGTAAAATTACAGACCAAAGCTCCCGTAGCTCACTGAACAGAAAATGCCCTTTCCCCCTGTGGACCCACTGTAAAATAGAATATAGTGAACGAAACAGGAACCTTTCTGTGATTTGATTGTTTTTGTTTATCTGTTACTTAATTTGTTGTAGTATGAATGGTAGTGGGGGAGTTTTTTAGAAAGTAGGAAATGCTGTAAAACCTTTAAAGTACAGTTAAAAGTCCAAAATCTGTGCCCTCGTTTCAAAGCTGTTCAGTTGGCCAGATTGGGGTCTTTGTCAGGCTAATTCTGGCCCCCGGGCCTTGTGTTTGACACCACTGATCTAGTACATTATCACTAATAAAGGGACAAACCTCAGCCTTTAGGTATGCAAATTTGCAAGTGTGCCCCCCCACCTTTCCATTCCTGCTGTGTGTTTACAGCCCCCTCTTGGTTTCTCACTGTTCCCTCATCTTTGGAGTTTAGGTAGCCTAACACACCCACCCACCCACTCAGACCCACCCTAGTCTCTTAATGGCTGCTTGAAAAAACTGAAACCTAAAGGCAATACACAGAAACACAGAAACTGCTGATCTGGACCCTCCATCCATCTCAGATTTAACCATTTATCCAAAGCCATTGAGTAACCGCGGTTCAGTTAAATGCATGCATGTCTTTAGACTGTGGGAGGAAGTTGGAGCACTCACAGAGAAATGGCAGGAGGAAAAGATGTAGACCTTGGAGGACATTCATGGATGTTACAGAGAACGTTAAACTTTTATGCAGTGTTTTAAAATTTAATGGATTACTAAGTATTTCTAATCCGAATGACAGTGACTGTTATCAAGAGCACGCTCCGTTTTGCGTAACTATTTTCAAATCCCTGTAGAACTGCAGCCACGTAAGCTAGCGCAATAAATTTTTTTGCATATGAAACTGGAGGAGTTGCACTTACATCTTATGCCATCAGTTTGTCACAGTTTCCTTTCACATATAGCTTTGCAAAAATTGCATAAAAAGCACTTATAGCAATAACAACATAATATTCCAGAAACGCGCTTTGCCGATCTGATCAGCTCTTCATAAAACGTCCTACCCTGGAATAGATGTCAGTCCGCCATTACTTGCCAGAAACCGGAAATGATGTCATTTTTCTTTTTAAACCTTCAGGACCTTGTAAGCCTACACTTGTGTTTTTAGAAGTCATGTTCGACTTAGAACTTAAATTGCACTGCTGGAAATAGTTTTATTTTGATGCATATGATGTTTTTCTTGCATTTTGCATTATAATATTTATTTTTGTTT